CTTTGTTTGTGTGAGTGAGTGGCCATGTGATGTGAACCATCGAGGCATTTGTATGACCACAACGTGACTTAGACCTCCGTGCACCAAGCTACCTAACATACGCACGGGACTGACATGCCACACTTCTCCCCCTCACACTATATAACTCCCTTATTTCCTTCCTTCTATCCACATACACACATATAAATATACATGCAGACACTCCTCCTGTACTGTTCTGCACGCGGTCCATTAATTGGCGGTCCACTGCAGCAGCAGCACGGCATGTCTGTCTGTGTGTGCATGTGATCGACACCACCACCGCGGGTAGCACCGTTGCGGGGCACGCCCATTGCCCCAATGACGTACTTGCCTGCGGAAGAATCAAACACACACACACACACGTGCAGAGAGAGATAGAGATGATGACACACCTCAAACACAAAGGTCCCTTGGCGGCTGTATAAATCGATGCTGCTCCACAGGATACCCACTGAGGCAAGATGAAAGCAGCGGGATAGGTGAGCCAGTGTAGTTGCGGTGGGGCTGATGTAATTGCTTGTGGTTTCTGCTGTGTGCTGTGTTCACTGTCCCTGTATATGCGATACCGGTGTGTGTTTGCGGTGTTGTGACTCCACTGGCGTATGCCCGCAACGTAATCTGCAGTGGTTCACTGCATTCTGTTTGTGTTGTTTCTGTAACAATAGTGCTGCACCAATTGTCGTCAGACCCCACGGTGTTGTTGTTGTTGCAGTAAACACGCTGCTAATGCTGTGCTCTGCTTTTTGTGTTGTTTTCTTGTGTGCTAGTGAGCGTGTATTGTGGTGTGTGTTGATCGCTGTGCTGCAGGCCTGCGTTGTGTGATTGGTTTACTGTTGTTCCCTCATTGGGTTGTGTTTGATTGCTGTTGTGATGTGTACTCTCTCTCTCTCTCTCTCTTTCTGTGTTGTTGTGTACTGTCTGTCGTGTGTTAAATGTGCATCTCTTTTCTCCTTTTCCTCTTCTTCCTTGTTACCACAGACCCAAGCAACCCACAGTGATAATCATGACAACGATGTTCATCCAACTGCGCCGTGTGGTGTACCTGTTGGTACTTCTGCAATTCTGTACTTGTATGGCCCTTGGAGATGATAAAGTTCCGTCAGTTGCCAAGGAAAGTGAGGTTAAAATTGTGGAACAACGGTTAAAGACGTCAGTAGATAAGGTCTATGAATTACTTGTGGAAGGAAATAGTTGTTTGTCTGTGTGGAAGGATGAGGTGGTGGAATGCAACAGAAGTACTGGTGACGTTAAAACTGCTGCCGAGGAAACCAAAGGTCTTATTGAGAAAATTGAAAAAACAGAGTCGATCACTAACGAGGGAGAAGAGGTCGGTTCGACTGACAAGTTGCTGCAGGACGTTAACGCATCGATACGAGTTGTCGGAGATGCAGTCAAGAATACGCGAGCAAGAATTAAAGATACAATGTGGATTAGTAAGAAGTGTACCAGCACGATTGAAAAGTTGAAAGAAGTGGCAGGACAACTGCGGCAAGATGCACTGCACTTTCCAAATTTGCTTGATAGTACAACAGAGACGCCGAGAAGGTTAAGACTCGCGCGAGAAGGGAGTGGAGCAGACGGGGTGGTGACGAATCTCATTGGAAATCTCACTGCACTGGTTGAACCGAGTCGCGAGACAGTGGTAAACGCCAACCTTACTTTGAAGGAGGTGAAAAACGCGACAAAAGAAGTGATTGATAAGCTACACGGAAAAACACCAGAGAGCCCTATAACAAACGTAACTGAAGAGGTGCAAAGGATTATGGTTTTGGGAGAAGTTCAAATACGAGATATTGAAAGATTATGGGAAAAGAATGCCACTGATATAACTGAGGACGGACCTGACTTTGGGACTATAAGAGCAAAATGGAATAGGGCACATGAAGAAGAACAGCAAAGGGCTGATGAAGAAAAAGCTAAAAGGACTGCAGAGGATGAAAGAGACGCCGAAGAAGAGAGACGGATCGCAGAAGAGAAGGCGAGGATGGAGGAAGAGAAACTTGCTGCAGCAGAGAAGGAGAAACTGGTCGAAAAAGAGAAACTGGCTGCAGAAGAGAAGGCAAGAAAGGCTAAAGAAGATGAACTGGCGAGAACGGCAAAGAAAGAGACGGACAACAGCAGCAGTCCTGCATTGGTGCACAGTCCCATTTTGCTTCTTGTTCTCTTGTGTGTTTTGGGTTGCTCTCTCATGTGCTGATCGGTGTTCCCATGATACAGTTGCACAGTTAACGGTCTTTGTTTGACTGGATATGGATGCATTGTAAGGTCACTGTTCTTTTTATTAAATTTTAATGGTTTCTTTTTTTGTTTTTCAGTTCGATAAATCTCTTGTTTGCATTATTGTGCTGAGCAAATCTATTGGACTCCCTATGGCACTCATCACATGACAAACCATCATTTTGTGAGGGGAGTCTCCTCTTTGTTTGTTCGCATTATTATCTGGGCACTGTTTTGCCGCCATTTACTGTGTCCTCCTGTTGATGTGTGTGTGTGTTCCGTGATATTATTAACTATTGCTTTTACCCATGGGAATGAGATATTTCCCCAATAATATATTGGAATTGCTGTGACTGAAATGTGAAGAATGACAGGAGGAGGTTCAAGACACACACAAACACGCACACTACCAACCTTCCTTCTCTTTCTGTGTGTGTGTGGACTGTCATCATGTGTGCATCATTCCCATTGCTCACCCTGTACGAAAGACACACACACACACACACACTGCAGGGAATTGTGTTCTTGCCTCCTGAACATATTCACATGGTGATCACGGCTTTTGTTTTGTTTTCATTATATTGTTTTCCCCTTGTGTGTTCTCATTATAATTTCATTGCACGTCATGTGCATGTGTGTGTTTCTTTTTTGCGTTTCCGATACACCTTGTGTATCTTGCGTGTTCATTTTTATGGAATGTTTTTTTTTTTTTCATTATATACAAACTGCTGCAGGGACATCAAGAAAAAAGATATGGGCACAGTACGTTCAGTACACAATGATTTTCCGTTGTTAACCTTGGGGTGGATTGGACTGTGTCCAGGCATCGCAGCCACAGTCAGTAATAAATTTTTTTTTTGCTTTTACATCTTTGCTTTATTATTGTGTCTGCCACACGCAGTCACTCTTTTTTTACATTTTTGTTTTGGTATAAATATTGGTGGGTTGTAGGTGTTTGGGTGTGCCCCTCTGTTGTGTGTTCCTTTGTGTGTTTGGGTTGCTACTCACACCGCCCACGTAGTGAAAACACATTTATTTGTTCTCACCTTCTCTCTCGGTGGTGTCACTCAAACGGTATTGCCACGGAGATGTTACTGCCCTTGTGGTGTGTGTGGCTTGCTTGAGTGACTGCAACCTGCGGGGAGATGGACTAAGACTGTTCCGCTTCGGCTTCACGTAATGGGTCTGTTCTTTTTTTTTCTTTTTTGGGTGTGATTTGATGTGCTGGTGAGTGTGAATGTTTTTCTCTGATGGGAGTGTCAGCTGTGATTATTGTATTGTGAGTGCTTTGTGTGCTGTTGGTATCCTGTTGTTGTTCTTTTCTTGTGTTTTCTTTTCATCTCTGTAGGTGTGTAACTCCGTGTACATTTTGGGGAATGCCGCAGTGCCTCTCTGATATGGGCGTGTGAGAGTGTCATTGTGTGTGTGTGCACTGTGAGTGGGGAGGACACCGTTGTGTTGCTGGACCACTCCACTGCGGCCTCTGCGGGGTGCATTGAATGGCGTCGTGGTGATATCCATCGACATGTGTGTGAGTGACTGGAGTGGAGGTGAGGCTCCTTTACGCCAGTTCATTGCCCTGCGGTGCGATTGGGGCCACACATGAATGGATTAATGAGATCCCCTCTGTCCTGAGTTACTATCTAGCGAAACGACAGTCAAGGGAACGGACTTGAAGGGCTGGGCAGGGAGAGAAAAGACCCTGTTGAGTTTGACTCCAGTCTGGCTCTGGACTGGCTGGTCGGTGGTATGTACTTGGTACTGTCATCACTTTATAATTTGGTTCACATAATTTATATGTGTACTAGTGTGAGATTGTGAAGGGATCTCGCAGGTATCGTGAGGGAAGTATGGGGTGGTACGAGAGGAACTCCCATGCCGTGCCTCTGGTTTCTGGAGTTTGTCGAACGGCAAGTGCTCCGACGCTGTCGCACGGTGGTTCTCGGCCGAACGCCTCTGAGCCAGAAGCCAATCCCAAGACCAGATGCCCATTATATATCACTATATATAACCAAAACTATGTGTGCGTTAGCAGCTAACGTGTATGTGGTATGCACTTGCGTGACTGCCTCAGGGAAAAGTAGACCTCCGTGGTCGCGGCTTTTCAGGACAAGACGGGCTACACCAAATCTAGGATGTGTTTGGCTTCTGCGTTTTTCGTTACAGCCTTCGCGGTCCTCTCCTATCCGGGAGCTTGAGGAAGTTTTCTT